CATATCATTACTGTTGTTTTATTATAATAATTTCTAGGATCATAGTTGTTGCGGGCTAGAATATACGCGGAGATAGAGTTATAATTCTACGTCTTAGCGTTGCACGGATATCCAGTTCACACACAAAGAACACAATATTTTTACGTGGAAAACCCGAAAAGGGAAAAAACCACGGGGCTCTCCTGCTGGGCCGTCGTATGCAGAAAATGTTTCTGCTCCAGCCTCCAAACAACCCGTTTTCCCGGTTTCCTTCTTTTCTCCTAGCCAAAAACTTTCCTTCAAAGCCAATGACCTTTCTGAGGGGAAATCACTCTGGAATACTGCTCTCATCGGTTATTCGCTAGGGCCTCGCCCTTACTACGAAAGACTTCTCAAAGCCATGCAGAAGCTCTGGCCTCTAAAGGGCTCTATGACTCTTCTATCACTTGCTGATGGTTTCTTTCTCCTTAAGTTCACCTCTTCTGAAGATCTTGAAGCGATTCTAGCTGGGGGCCCTTGGTTTCTCTTAGGGAAGCCATTCATCCTTCAGCGCTGGTCTCCTAAGTTCAAGCCAAAGCGCGACGAAGCCACCCCGATCCCCATCTGGATCAAAATTGTTGACTTCCCCTTAGCGCTCTGGACGCCGACAGGTATTTCGAGGATCGCCAGCTATATTGGCATTCCTATTTCTGTTGATTCTCTTACCGCTGCGCGTTCTAGACTGACTTTTGCCCGGGTATGTGTCTTAATCTCAAAAGATTCTACTTTACCTGAAGAAATTCCTATTGATATTGAAGGTGAAGATATGACGCTGAAAGTTCTTTATGACTGGAAACCTGATAAGTGTGAAGGATGTGGATCCCTTATCCACCCTTTCTCGCTTTGCCCCAAAAATCCAAATCCTCAACCTTTCCTCCCTCCTCAACCACCAAAAAACCGAGGGCGTAGTCAATCCAGAGCTCGCTCTTCTCGTCCACACCGTTCCACATCCAAAGCTCCTCCTAGCAATCCTCCACCCCAGATTGCCCCCCAACCTCCTCAGACTGAACCAATCCCTCCCCCTCCACCTTGCAATCCACCTTCTACTTCCCAGCCTCCACCTTCAAATAATACCATCATCCCGAACCTTAATTCTCCTACTGAAGAGACCTCCTCTTCTGAGCTTTTGGTAATCCCGCCCTCTCTTCCTGGACCCAGTATACCTCTGGTTAACAAATTTGCCTCCTTGCAAAATGAAGATAGTCATCTCTCTAATTCTCTTGACTCCTGTTCTGAGAATGAGAATAGTTTTGATAAACCTACTGAGGATCCTCCTGAGCACAGTATACAGAACACTATGCCGCCAAAAACAAGATCCAATACCAGCAATGGTAAATCCCCAAACAAGTCTAAACCCCCAAGGGTAAATCGGCCAAGAAGGCCAAAGGTTCATCTTAATTTAATGTCCATGCCAACGATTGCCTGTTGGAATGTCCGAGGGTTCAATAACCCTGACAAAGTGCGTGTTTGTAAGTCTTTGATCGCCTCTTATGACCTTAAAATGTTCTGTATATTGGAAGCAAAAATTTCCTCTGTCTCCATGGAAGATCCGTGGTTTTGCAATACTCATTTACTGTTCCAAAATGAAGGCAGCTGCAATAATTTCAGGGATTCTTCTCCTGGGCGTATCTGGATTAAATGGGATGCATCTTTGGTCTCTTTTAATTTGATTTACACTTCATCTCAACTCATACATGGCATCCTTTCTATAGGATCTTTTCCACCCATATACATCTCTGTTATTTATGCTTGTAATAGCATTGAAGATCGAAAAGTTTTGTGGAACCAATTAGCTGATCTCATTCCCCCTCAAGATCAACCTTGGGTTATGATGGGGGACTTTAATTGTTACAGATTTGAATCAGAAAAAGCGGGTGGTTCTGGTACTTCTAACAGCCGTCTTGGGGAACTTAATAATATGATTTTTAACTGTGGTGTGCACGATCTTTCTTCAACAGGGCTTTACTACACCTGGTTTAATCAAAGGGTTGATGACCCTATTCACATAAAACTTGACAGAGTTTTGGTGAACCCGGCCCTCCTTGACTACCTCCCCACAGCTTACTACATTGTTGAATCCCCTCTGGCTTCAGATCATTCACCTCTTATATTAAAATCTTCTAATTCTAAACCTATTTCCTCAAGGTTTAGGTTTAAAAATTACTGGGCTAACATGGATGGTTTTTGGGAAGATGTTCTTGATGCTTTTCACTCCAGATCCAACAGAAGCCCCTTAGCTTCCTTCCACCACAGTTTACAAAATCTCAAAAAAGCTCTTAAAAATCGCAACTGAGCCTCCTCCTCTTTTCTGACAAACTCCATTCAAGAGCTTAAAGGTTTACAGAATGCCTGTTTGCTGGATTTACAATCTCAGCCGTTGGATTTGGCTCTCAATTCCAATCTGAAAAACATAAATGAAAAGCTTGCTTCTCTTCAAGCGTATTGGACTTCTTGGATTACTCAAAGAGCTAAGGCTCTTTGGCTTTCTCATGGGGAAGAAGATATTGGTTTTCTATATGCCAAAATCAGAAGCAGAAATAATAAAAATCACATCAAAGAAATTTCCACGGCTAATGGGCATTTTACTGAATTCAAAGACATCTCCAAGGCGATTGTGAAACACTTTGAGGATTTGTATAATCCTCCTCCTCATCCCCTGGTTTTACCTTTAGACATTCATCCTGGTAATTTAGTGCCTGCCTCTTACTACGCACTGTTAACTGCCCCTGTTTCTATTGAAGAGGTGAAATCTGCTGTGTTTGATGGGAAAGTCAATTCCACACCAGGGCCGGATGGTTTCTCTTATGGTTTTTATAGGAAAACTTGGCACCTTCTTGGTTGCCAAGTTTACAATGCTGTTAACAATTTCTTTACTTCTGGTTGTCTCCCTAAAGGGATTAAGGCTACTGCAATCACGCTGATTCCAAAAACTTCCCATGATTCCAATATAAATGATTTCAGACCCATCTCTCTTTGTAATGTGTTATATAAAATCATTGCTAAAATTTTGGCTGATCGGTTAAAGAAAGTTCTTCCCCTCATCATTCACGAAAGTCAAGCTGGTTTTATTGCCAACCGTTGCTCTGCTGATAACATCATTCTGGCTTCTGAAATTTAGGGAATTTAGAGGCACCCATAAGAGTTTTTGTGCAAAACTTGACATCAAAAAAGCATTTGACTGTCTCAAGGGAATTTCTGATTGCTAGATTATACCAAAAGGGCTTTCCTGAGATTTTTGTTTCTTGGATCAATAGTTGTATTTCGGATGTACACTTTTCTATATGTTTGAATGTCTCGTTGGAAGGATTCTTCAATTCTACTTCTGGGCTCCGTCAAGGTTGCCCTTTATCTCCATTACTTTTTTGCATCGTTATGGACGGGTTGTCTAATATCCTTATTAGATCTCCCAATACTTCTGGCTTTAATGGAGTTTGTGATAGAGGTGCTAATATTAATCACTTGATGTATGCTGACGACCTTCTTGTTTTTGGTGAAGCTTCCCGGGCTAATGCTGAAGGTCTTTTAAACTGTTTAACTCATTTTGGGAATCTTTCGGGCCTGCATATAAATCCTGATAAAAGCTCCATTATTTTCTCCAATGCTGCCCATGAGAAAGAGGTTATCTGCAATGTGCTTGGCATCAACAATTGTTCCACTATTCTCACATACCTGGGCATTCCTATTTCAACAAAAAAACTCAAAATTTCTCACTTCCAACCACTACTGAGCAAGATTTCTTCTCTACTTGATGGTTGGAAAAACAAATTTCTTTCTTTTGCAGGTCGAGTACAATTTCTCAAATTTACCATCTCAAACACTATTGCGTATTGGATTAGAGGATCTATTATACCTAAAGCTTGCTGTGCCTTCATCAATAAACTGTGCTCTAGATTTCTTTTCCATTCGAATCTCCAAGAGAAAAAGCTTCATCTCATTGCCTGGTCTAAAGTCACTTTACCTAAGCATCTTAGGGGTCTTGGTATACCATCCATTGAAGCCCTTTATCATGGTGTCATGTGCTCCAGCATTGGCAGACTGTATAACACTCAAAACCTTTTAAGTAAATGGTTTAAAGCTTATTATATATCTCCTTGGAAACCCTTCTCGCCCTCTGCTTCTTTATTTTGGAAGAAATTATGTGCTACTGCATCTAAGATTTTAAACTGCATCTCCTTCTCCCTGTCTGCTGAAAGCAATTTTTCTTTTAAATGGGATCCTTGGCTCAATGGGATTATCATTGCTAATCATTTTGGCATGGAACATCTGGGAGAATTTTTGGTGAAAGATTTTGTTGTGGGTGAGAATTGGGTACTCCCTAGCTATTTACCTAACTCTCTTTCTGAAGCTATTACAAACATTTCCTTACATGATCCCTCTAGCATTCTTTGGCTGGGATCCCGCAACTGGGTTTTTAAGAATTTTATTGAGCATTTTTACTCTCATTTGCCGAAGGTGGACTGGTTTGATGCTGTATGGCATAAAAAGCATGCTCTCAGATATGCTTGTTTTGTTTGGATGGCTATGTTAGGGAAACTAAAAACTGCTGATAACATGCTGATTAGGGGAATTCAGGTTGCTCCGTTATGCTCCCTTTGTAATGGTTTTATGGAAAATCATAATCATCTCTTCTTTGGTTGTGATTTCTTTTTTAATATTCTAAAGTATATGCTGCCGGAATTGCAATGCTTTCTTCTCCGACCTACATTAGCTCAAGTTCTGGAATTTTTTTCCATTTCCAATTCGCATAGTAAAATTGAGAAGGATTTCTGCTGTTTAACGGTTGGTTGCATCATATATCATATCTGGCGTGAGAGAAACTTGAGGCGTTTCTCTAATACTCGTACTAACTCGGTTAGATTGATTTGTAACATCACGATGGCCATTAGATTGAAAGTTTCAAGATGGAAAAATAAGGATTCGCTTCTATGGAGATTTTCTGGTATCTGATTTTTCTGGATGTTTTGCTCCGCAATTTTTTGGCCTGGGACGTCTCTTGTCCTAGTTATTTTCTGCTTTTAGCTTTGTCTGGAAGAAGTTTTGGTTTTTTGGAGATACTTGGTATAATTTACTATTTTCTTCAGACCTGGGAAGAACATTTTGATGGCTGCAGGTGGTTTTTATCTACTGTTCAGTCATGTTCCATTTTGAAGAACAGGATGCTCATTTCTTGGGTATACGGATTGGTTCATACCCGAATTAATGGTTACAAAAACTGGAGACATTGCTACAATCCGACGATGATGACCAAGCCAGATTCCTCTTGTTTGCCATGGAAGGCCCTTTCTGGCAACCTGGCATATTTTTTCGGACATCCTTGGGATAGATGGAAGTTCTGTGAGGGCCTTTATCTCGCCTGGCAACCGGAGCTTCCTCCTGCGCTGGACGGTTTTCACTGAATGAGTTTTTGTTGACTGGAACTGGCTTATTTTGCCTGAGTCTATTTGATTGTTTTATGTCTCCTTTGTAACTATTAGTTTTGGGCTTTGTTCTATTGTTCTTAGCTTTTCTATTTTATAGGTTTTCTCCTGCTTATCCAGGATTCCCTCTGTAATTTTTTCTGATTTTAATACAATGGGCTTTGCCCCGGGTTTTCCCAAAAAAAAAAACTAAAGGGGCGAAGGGCAGAAGTCGGAAGGGTTTCACGCGCAAGGATTCAGCAGTTCAGCGGTTCAGACGAAAGCTTTCTTCTAATCTCGTTGGAACGCCGAAAGCCTACACTTCACCTTCAGCGGCTCACGGCGGCTTGTGACGGATCGGCGACAGTCGGCTGGTATGCTAACATTTTTCTATCTCTCGGATTTTTCGGCTTTCTCTCCGTTTAAATGTTTAATCCATTTTTTTTAATGACTTGGACAAATTTTCCCTGGTTTCGGCAGCCCGCAAATACTGGCTCTCCCAACAAATCAAACGGATGCGGTCATATAGGGTTTCTTCTTTGGACGGGAGGTGAGTTTTAAGCTTTTTCATTCCTCAAAGAAAATAATATTAGTTTTTTTTTTCTTTTTTTTTTTGCAAGGCAACTTTTTTATATTTTTACAGTTGACATGCTTCTATTTAGTTACAACTTTCTTGCCACTTTTTAAAAATTCTTATGCTGTGAAGCAATTTTTATAATCAGATTTGCTAGAGTGTTGTAGCTTTAAAAAAAGTTATTGTCATATTTTTTCAAAAGTGAAATAATCTATAATACCCACAATAAATTTAAAAAGGTTAGATTTTCTTATTGTAGTTCTACAGTTATTTTTACAAACAACTGAAATAATCCAAACAGACCCGAAATCTCATTGAATTGTTAGTTTTAACTATGTTTTTTTTTTTATTTGTTAAATACATGAGAACTTTAAGGATTGATTCTTTTTAACCCTTGCGATGTATATGGATTTTTCACTGAGATTTGATGATGTTAACACGTGTTAGATTTAATTTTGTGATAGATATTTCCGTTAGTTTATGTCTTTAGGATTCCATTATTTTGTTATGGTTATTCTAGCTTTTGCCATTATGTTTGTTTGCAAGTTTTAAGTAGTTTGTTAGTAATTTTTTAGTAGTTATTTCACCTTTAAATAAGGGAAAATCTAAGTCCTGAAAGATATTTTATGGAATGAATATGATTCTTATTACAAGATTCTTCACTAAATCCTAAGTAGGTAAATCCTTCTGGTTGCCAAACAACTCCTAAGCTTTTATGTTCTTCTTCCACTAATTTAGACATCACTCCTCCTCGGAAAGAACTATGAACCATTTTTCCCTATTTGCTTTTCAAATTAAAACCCTAAGAAGGGTAGTTTAGTAGTTTTATAAAAAATTAAAAAAATGTGAGCTTTGACAAATTTACCGTAAAAAATTGAGAAGTGACGCATAATAGCTTCCAATCAATTCGGTTTAATGCCTATGTTCCAAAACAGATATAAGGACAAATAGCAACGGTTGTTACTAATTAATTAATTAACTGCATATAGGCACTAATGATAGTTGAGTGATTAAGGTCTAGCGCTAATTATGGTGGCATGTTGGTTCGAATCTATTTTCCCATTTAATGCTAATATCTTATTTTAATTGTCATTAACATCTAACGATTCCCTAAAAATGTGATTAAAAGCTGTCTCTCTCCGTAGCTATTTATCCTAATCATAATGAGAATTTAATTATTTTGAGAATGGACAACCCTGGGCAAAGCATGGGTCCGCCCCTTATTTAATCTTAGGCGTTAAAAATAGAAAATGATAATTAGAATAAATCGATTGTACCTTTACAATTGTCATGATATGATTTGTGCAGAGAATTCATATCTTTGCTTCTATAATTCGAGCCTTTGTCAATAGCTATGTATGCGATGCAGGATGGAATTAGTAGTTCTCCATTTATTGGGTGATCGAGGCATTCTTTTGGCTTATATGCATCCCTCGATCAAGCATGAGTGAAGTTCTAGGGCACCGATCAATGGGTTGTTGTGCAAAAGAGAAATAAGTTGGGGGTTTTCTTTCGTCGTGTTATCAGTGTGAGGTCTTGCTTTACGCGTACACCCAAACAAAATCGTCTAGGCCGGGTTCCGGTCAGTACCGATACTAGAATAGTCGTCATGACCGATTCACTTAACTTGTTGGACTATGGCAAACTCGTTGGTATACTTGCTCAGGAATGAACATGAATGAAGATTATGCTCGCACGTTGATTTTTCACCTTCGTGGCTTCAATCTTCAAGGGCAGTTGTTGGACAAGGAAGAGGGAGCCGGGAGGGGAAAGTTGGGAGCCTGGAGGGGAGAGCTGCTCGTGATTAAGGAAGTCACGCATGAACAGGATCAGCTAGGGAAAAAGGGAAGAATATGAGATGTAGTGGGGCAAATTACTAAAGTAGGTGTTGGGATATTTTGGTAATTTTCCCTCCTCATATTCTGCCTTTTTGTCAACAAATTTCTCATTTAATATAAAAAAAAGATAACAATGATTTATAGCATGCATGTAACAACAAAAGTTTATCTAATACATTCAATTAATTTAGTTCAAGTTGTAATGATTTACTTTGGAATATTTGCAAATATTACGTCATAATTTTATTTATCTAAATTCTACATGCATACCAGAATATGAATCATCTAAATTCTACATGCATACCAGAATATGAATCATCCAAATGTTATCTATAGCATTTTAATTTGGATCTGAAAGCTCCTTTCAGCTTTCTAGCCTCGTATCATTTCTTGCTCTTTAACTGTGCCAGAAGACGGTGCAAGGAACTGGCATGAAATCAACCTAAACCTGCTTGACGTTGATATATAATCTACTTTGAAGACCAATGAATTTCCATTACAGCTTGTTAACGTAAAATGTTGATTTAGGCTTCGTTTTGCTTCATTTGTGGCGGCTTTTTTATTGCTTCTTAAAACGAAATTTTAGTAAAAAAAAATAAGTATTCACGCAATCCTTTTGAAGCCTTTCATTTAATTATTTGTAATATAATTGCCTTTCATTAGTTATTAAATTATTTTATTACAGCATTTCCATACCAGCTAGAGTATTCATTCAACTCTAATCATGTAATGCTCGATGTGCCTTGTCGACTATGAAGATGAGGAGGAAGGGGAGGATAAGCCATAGCTGCCATATTAAGGCTTTTACCAGATTGTGGGCATTTATTTCATGCCATGGGTGTGGATCCATGGTTACGATAACCTCCAACTTGTCCGATGTGTCAGTCATTGGTGATGAATGGTGCCGCGCCTATGCCTTTAGCTGGATCGAGTGCAAACCTTGGAAGCCTAAGCTTCTTCTTTGACTGCTGGTATCATGTTTGCACTTCAATCTGTTCTTGTGTTTAGCTGGAGAAAAAGAAAAAAAAAATCTGAGACAGCTAGATGGGAGGACCGGAATTGACGACAAACAGAAGATGCATAAACAGCTTACTTGTAGAGAGCAGGCGGCAGGAGAGCACCACGGGGAAAAACACATCAGGTTCCTTTAATTATAAATTCTATATGTTTCAGGTTGCTTGTTTTTTAACAAAGTCGATCGAGATATTTTAAGAAATCATCCTCTCAAGTCTCACCTACCAACATCTATAAAGGGAAATTTTTGAAAAAAAAAAGGCCCCTCTTGTAAAATATTCTGACTCTACCTGTATTCATTTAAAATTCTTAAATAATAAATATAATTTATTTTAAATACACTTAATAGCAATGATTTAATTTTCAGTGGGGGCCCGTGCCCCCAACGGCCCCATAAGTGCATCCGCCCATGGCTGTAAGAATGGGTTGAGAGCAATACAGAGGGTTTTATACTCTGTTTTTCAATGATCCACTTAGATGTATTTGTAATAATGAAATTTTATTAAAGACCTGCTGCGTGGAATTGCTTTTATTTATTTACGTATTTAAACCCTAAACATGAAGCTAGCTGGGGTTATAAGAGCAGAAACAAAGGTCTTACACCAAGGCATTCCAGCAACTGATAACAGGCTCTTCCCTAAAATGGATTATGACCTTTCTTGGTGAGGAGAAGTAGCGATCAATATCTATACATTAATAACAAACACAAAGATAGAAGAATAGCATTAATAGTTTAATACCCCTTAGAACAGAACTTTAGGGCAATGACTACGGAGTTTGCTTGGTCAGCAAGATATGCTTAAAGTGCGTTTAGTGACACTGGGATTTGCCTAAGAAATTGCAGCAGATGGTAGAAATTGGTCTTAAATGAATGTAACTTAGCTAACGGAGAAGGAACCCAGTTGGATTTATTGTATTGGGCGTGAAGCATGCTCCAAATGCTTAGAAATATGTGAGATGACTTGGAATATTTGATTTGGTTGGAAACTTGGTAATGAATAAAGGCTCTTGTTATCTCATTTGCAACAGAAACAAGATGGGTTTGGGATATCATTTTCAATAAGAATTAGGGGAAAATTTATAGTTTGACTTTGATCATTGAATTTTTCTCTCGTTTGCGTGATTCTTTTATTTTAAAGAGATATTGGAAGATTTTTATTTTATTTTATTTTGCAAGACAAATTTGATGAGTCTCTTTATGAAAATATTAGATGTGTTGGCGTTTGAAGGAGAGCCAGGTTCTACCGTGCCTCATTTATTTATGCACGTATGTGGCTTTTTAATGGTGAATAAATCCCTCTACTATGGTAGATATAAATTGCGACCAAATCATATAAATTTTAGTAGTTTTTATGTGCTTGATTTCTTTGTTATTTATTTTTGCATGCTCTACAAGTAATTCCAATGAAGTACTTTCAGTTAAGCAAGTTGCTAGTTCTAAACTTCTAATGAATAATATTAGTTTTCTTGTTTTAACACCAAGATGGACGAAGAGAGCTCATGGATCTCTAAGTTCAGCATTTGCAAAAATAAATAATACCAAGTGAAAAGATAAGCTAATTGATGCATTACAAATCTACCTCAGTCTTAATCAAAGTTTCTGTTTTCAATCTAATTTTGTAAATCATATTTTTCTTTTGGTTAATGAATAGGGGTTTTTTTTACATTTATTTATGGAAAGCATTTTTCATTTTTAATCACTCATAATTCTCTAAATAATAGCTTGAGTCTTGTAATTACGTAAGTTGAGGTTGGAAAAAAATAAATGTTTTCTTTTGGTATAAGCCTAGAGATTGATTCTCCCATCTATAATTATCCCAAGCTTTCTTTTTCTCTATCTCCTATCTACGTTCTTTTGAAGGATAAACTCATTTAATATCCCCAATACCCTTCCTTTCTTAAACTTTGTGATTCTTCCGCCAATAAAAATTCTTCCTTCTTTTGTTGTCTAGCTCTTTATCAACTTGGTATTAGAGCAATGTTCTTAAATCTAAATTTTTCAAATGAACAATTCTCTCTGGTTATCCATCATGAACTCAAGCCTCTTCCCCATCATTGAGCCATGCTTCATCATCCTACTTGTGCTCTCCCTTGAGTCCCTCAAAGCCTCCCTGTCCCAATCAATGAGGATCTCCTTAATAATATTTTTAATAAACTTGTTGGACAAGTTTCTTTGCCTCCAAGAAGATCTATGCTTCCTGCTCTCTTAGAAATTTGATAACATTACACTGCTTGCTTCCTCACTTGTAAGGCCTCATAGTTGTTCTTCAAATGCAAAAAATCACTCAACTACATACTTATAGCCACATACAAGTGCTTTGCATCCCAACATACATTAGGTTCCCCTGCTTTAACTTGAAAATCTTCCCTCGACTGACCTATCTATTTCTCATAACTGCAACCAATTCTATGCCTCTCAAACTCCATATTTTTTCTACAGTGCTTCTCTAGTTCAATCTCCATCTCTATCTTCTTTAATCCCCTTCCTACTCTATCATCAACATCAAATTTGATAAGTCCTAGCACAATGCATTTGCCCCTACCCTTCGCTTCTCATTCATCTCTCTCAACACTTTAACAAGTAAACTTGTATTCCTATTGCAATACTCAGCTATTGTACATGTCTCCCACATTCCTCCTTCGGTTCTCAATATCAACCACATCAAACACCTCCCACATCTCATGCATTCAATCACAATTTAATGTACACTCGAAAGACTCCTGCACACAATGCTCAACCTCATACGTGCACAAATATTGCAACCCTACAATCTCATCTAAGCTTTCCCCAAAATGTTGGCTCTCCACCAAATATTGGTAAACATAAATCTCATCCAATTAAAATTGATGTACAAATCATATCAAATTCAATTAAGTTTATAAATAACCTAAATTGTCCAATCTTTTCCAATTATTAACCCAAATTAACAAAAAGAGTCAAGTCAATCAAGTTAAATTGGATAAGGCGACTCTAGAAGCAAGCATGAAGACTTTCAGGCTTCTAGATAAATCTTTCTAGAATTTTAGTATTCTTGAGAATTGATGAAGAGAGTCTTCTATCGATATCATTCTCAATTCTTAGTTAGAATCTGTATTTTAAATTTTATTTATTGGATATTGTGACTTTCTTTCATTGAGAGGTTTGATGGAGAAATATAGAGAGAATAAGGAGGATCTACATATGATATTTATTTATTTAGAGAAAGCATATGATAAAGTTCCAAGAGAAGTTCTATGGAGAGTTCTTGAAAAGAAAGGAGGTAATAATGCTTATATTCAAATCATTAAAGATATGTATGCAGGAGCTATTACTTATGCTCAAACACAAGGTGGTTTGACCAAGTATTTTCCTATTTCGGTTGGATTACATCAAGGATCAGCTGTAAGTCTATATCTTTTTGCTTTAGTCATGGATGTTCTCACTAGACATTTGCAAGAGAATGTACCTTGGTGTATGCTTTTTGCTGATGATATTCTTCTTGTTGATAAGACTAGAGAGGGAGTTGAAGTTAAACTTGAATTATGGAGGTCAACTTTAGAGTCTATAGGTTTTTGCTTAAGTAGATCTGAAACTGAATATATGGCGTGTAATTTTAGTAGCAAAAGACCTAGTGAGGGGATAGTGACTTTGGGCGATCAAGTCATTAATAAGAGTACACATTTTAGATATCTTGGATCTATTGTTTAGAGTGATGGTGAAGTTGATGGGGATATTATCAACAGAATTCTAAGTTGGATGGTTGAAGTGGAGGAATGCACGGTTTATTGTGTGATAGAAAAGCCCCCCTCAAACTTAAGGGAAAATTCTATAAGATGGTGGTGAAACCTGCAATGCTTTATGGTGCCGAATGTTGGCCATTAAAAGAGAAGCATAATACTAAGTTAAGTATTGCAGAGATGAGGATGCTTAGGTGGATGAGTGGCTTGACCCTTAGAGATAGGATACATAATGAGCATATACGTGATTTCCAAAAATAAATAGCAATGACATATCACATAATAACTCATAAGTCATCAGCACTGTCATCACTAAGGGGTTCTTCATTTGAATCATCATTATGGTGAACTGCTCTCTCCCCTTCCTTCTCTCCTATAGAGTCCAATGTCGGGCATTTACTTCAAGATTTATGTAAGTTTTAATATATATAGCGTGAGGCGTAAGCCTCATGCAGTGAGGCGAGGCGGGCCTCAACCAAGTTGAGGCGCAAGCCTCATAAAAAAAACTCGAGGCGTAAGCATCGAGATATTTTTTATTGGAATTGCGCAAAGGCGTGCCTCATATTGCGCAAATTTAAACCATGATATGTATTAGAAAGTAATGAAAACAGCAGTTCAATAATTTTTTTTCAAAAGCTATGTAAATGAGTAGAGTGTGTATTTCTCTATCTCGTTAAAGTTGGGCATAACATATTAGCATTCTTTTGAATGGTGCTTTAATATTTTTTACTTTCCATAAATATTATTCATCAGAATACTATGAAAGCCTAAGATTTGTAGGATCACAAATTTGAAGTACATCTAGTACCAAAACACTATCAAAGCCTAAGATTTCAATTGCTTTGCAATATTATTTGTACATTTATTGTAGGTAATTAAAAATTAATATATTGATAACAAAGAAGATGTATTTTAGGAAGTCATGGTCGTAAATAATTTGATCTAAATAAAGTTATTAAAAGTTGTTAAGCATAAAGAGAATTATGATGCAATGCAGGTTAATAATTATGAGCAAGATTGTGAAAATTAGATCAGACAAAAAATTGTAAGAAGATGAAGTTTATTGTTTAATACAAAGTAGAAATTGTCTCCTTTGATGGTGATATGCTAATGTTAATTGAATTTACACCTCGTTAGGTGATTAAAGATTTGGAGGGTTTAATCTGAGCAATGTATTGAAGTTTTATATAGATCTAACTTATTTTATTACAGTTAAATCTATGTCGTGCTTGAAGATTAATTCTAGGGGAGCATTTGAGCAAAATTGATTTGTAAATATCTAAAAGTGCAATTGGTTTGTAAATATTTTGTAAGCAATTGATATGTAATATTGTGGTTTCACTGATTTGTAAATGATTTATTAATTGTAAATTGTAAATCAACCTCCTGTAATTGTTTTTATTGCACTTTAATCTGTGATTATGTATTGTAAATGAGCAAATGATATGTAATATTATTTTGTTTCAACTCTATCTGATGTAATTATAAATTGTTTCTATTTTATATTTTTAAATTGTTTCACAACTTCACTGTTTGCTGAATTGCTGTATTAAAAATCAATTTTATTTCCAAATCAGTGAAACAGATTTAAAAAAAAACAGATTTCAATGAATTCCGGGTCATATGGGTCGTGTCGGGTTGACCTGAACCCAAAGTGGGTCAGGTTCAGGTCCGATATAATGACCCGTTTCTAAAAATCGTTTCGGGTTGACCCGTATGGTGTCGGATCAGTTTCAGGTTGAACCCGAACTCGACCCGTAACCGGTATTGATAGCCCTAGATTCTGGTTCTTTTTCTAATCTTATGGTAGTATGAGATTTTTTAGATGTGTTTCTTGAGGAGATTGTTAGTTTCCCACCTAATAGAAACATAGGGTTCTGTATTGATGTATTTCTAGGTACTATTCTAATTTTTAAAGCTCTGTTTATGATGAAACCTAAGAAGATTTAAGAGTTGAAGGTTCATCTTTAAAAGATGGTTGATAGGGGATTTATTCATCTTAGTGTGTCTTCGGGGGGGCACTTATTCTGTTTCACTACCAATGTGATGCATGTGTATTGACTATATGGAGTTAAACAAAGTCACTACCAAGAATAAATATTATCTATAATGGATCGATGATATATTTGATCAACTTGTTGGATCATCTATATTTTAGAAGATTGATTTACGATCTGGATACTATCAAATGAAGGTGAGAGAGACTGATGTACAAACATTATGAGTATTTGGTCATGTTATTTAGGGTGACTAATACACTAGCTATCTTTATAGATCTGATGAATAGAGTATTCAGAGATTTTCAAGATCAGTTTGTGATTATTTTCATTAATGATATTTTATTATATTTTATTTAGGAAGATCATGCTAGACATTTGAGTATTATTTTGGAGACTTTGAGGCAACATCAATAATATGTCAAAATTTCCAAATGTGAGTTCTAGTTCAGGAGTATTTTTTTTTTCTGGGACATAGGTGAGTAATGCTGGCATAAGTAGTCACTGATTGGTCGAGGCCTACTACTGTGTTTGAGGTATGCAGTTTTTTGGGCATGGTTGGATATTACATGAAGTTTGTGAATGAGTTTTCTCAAATTTTTGTACTTCTAACGAGATTGACTCAGAAGTTAGTAGCTTTGTCTGTGCACCAGAGTGTGAGGTCAGTTTTCAGAGATTGAAAGATTATTTGACTTCTCCAATTTTTGTTATTTATAGTTAATAGCTTATGCTTCTAAATAGTTGAAGCCATATGAGAGGAACATCGGACGTATGATTTAGAACTTGATGTTGTTGTTTTTTACATTAAAGATCTGGAGATGCTATTTGCATGGTATTAGGTGTGAGATTTTCACTAATCATCACAGATTAAAATACATATTCACTCAAAAGGATCTGAACTTGAGGCAAAGGAGATTGCTTGACTTGATCAAACACTATGATCTGACTATTTAGTATCATCCTTGTATGGCTAATGTGGTGGCAAACGCTATGGTAAAGAAGTCTTCTTGATTATCTTGTATGCAATTCACTTCTGATAAGTATTTGATACGATATATGAAAAGATTATAGTTAGAGGTGATTTATTCTACTGGCTGAGATTATGGTATATTGTCTTATATGATTATTCAACATTCTTTACAAGAAAATGTTCAAAAATCTAAAGAGTGAGATATAGAGAATTCAAAGTTCGATTGAATTATGAGTTATTGGTTATGGTATTATTTTATACAAGGATAGGCTACGGGTTTCTTTTTTTGGAGATGTGAGACGAGATTCTTTATGAGGCTCACTATTCAAGTTGCTATTCATATAAGAAGCAATAAGATGTACAGAGATTTGAATGATATATTTTGGTGGCATCGATTAAGGACATATCAGAGTTTATTTTGATGCATTAGGCTTATCAATTAATGAAGACAGAACATCAATAATTAAGCGGTCTTTTACAATCGTTATCTATTAGAGAGTGGAAATGTGAATAGTTGATAATTGATTTTGCTATGTATTTTCTAAGATTGAGGTAGGGGCATGATGTTGTCTGAGTTATTGTCAATCGACTAATGAAGTATGCTTATTTTATTTTGATCGGACGGAATGATATATGTTTGCACAAATATATATAAGATAATATTATATTGTACGTTGTGTCGATGGTGATTATATCTGATCATAATGGCAAGTTTACTTCTATATTATGGAAAGATATTCAATAAGGACTAGGGGCGAAGTTGCACTTTAGTGCGACTTTTCATCCACAGACAAACAATTGTTCGAAATGACTACTCAGGTAATGGAGGATCTTCAGAGACTATATATTCTAGATTTTAGGGGTAATTGGAAGGATCTTATCTCACTGATAGAGTTTTTGTACAATAATAGTTATCAGTCCAGCATAAGTATGGCTCTTTATGAAGCACTACATGGTAGGAATTGCAGGACTCCTTTAGCTTTGGCAAATATGGGAGATAGAATGGTGATACGGTCAACCTTTGTGGATGAGAATATACCAAAGATTCATTTGATCAGAGAAAGGATGAAATCTGCACAAAATTGGCAGAAGAAGTATTATGATTAGAAATATATATTGGTTGAATTTCATATTGATAATTTTTATGGCAAAGTCAGCTTAATAAAGGTGTCAGCAGATTTGGGAGAATCAATAAGCCAAGTCCGAGGCATATTGGACCTTTTGAGATCATCAAGAGGATTGGTTGTTTTGTTTACATGTTTTTTTCTTAAGAATGCATAAGCTACTGCACTGAATCCTTTCCCATTGAATCTTAAGCTTCTATAAGTTTTGAAAAAAAAAAAACTGTAATTCCTTTTATTTTCCATGCATTTTATTGGGGATATCTAATATTCATGAAGATTCAGATGTATGGTGAATGGATTGTTTGATTCAGGACATGCTGAATGGATACTCTAAGGTAATTACTAGAAATCTGGTTTACTCTGAGCCTGGGACTTGATCTCCTAGTTTTTCTACTTTTTCTACTTCTGACAGAATAAACCAAGGTGCTGGAACATAATTGGAGTTGAATGAATACTCTAGCTGTTATGAAAATGCTGTAATAAAATAGTTAATAATTAATGAAAAGTAATCATATTAGAAATAATTAAATGAGAAGGCTTAAAAAGGATTGCATGAATACTCCAGTCAAGTATTAAATGAAATCAACAGTACGTTAAATGAAATTATGTGTTCTCGGAATACCTGCGTGTTTTGGTCGTCGCCGCCTTGCGGCCCTTGCCGGTGCCGGCCTGCTACTGCGCCTGCCTAGTGCGGGGTCGAGGCGAGGAAACGGAGGCCAGTGGTTGAATAGTGTTTCGGAATAGTTTTTCAACATGATTTTATGTGCAATGATTGTAATTTTAGTGCAGCAGCTGATAATAGGCTCTTCCCTAAAATGTATATTATACCCTTTCTTGGTGTGGAGAAGTAGCGATCAATATCTATACTGTAATAACAAACACAAAGACAGAGGAGTAGTATTAATAGATTAATATTACTTATAAAAGAACTTCACCGTAATGGCTGAGTGCTTGTTCAGCAAGATATACTTAAAGTGCGTTTAGTGACTAATAAAATAAAGGGCAATTTTTAACTTTAATATTACTTAGAACAAAACTTTTGGTATTGATGTAGTCATGTGAACCAACCATAGGTAACATTGCCCTCTCTGTCTCTAGGAAATTACGCTGAGGGAAGGGGAAAAAAATTAAACTTGTATAAGATAAAAATTTGTTAAAAATAAAAACTATAACACACTGATATTACTTATCTGATATCGCTCTGAAGGTGCTCTGGGGTAGTATGTTGTAGGTGGTTTCAACATGTTCAATGTTGCCAATGACTTGAACCACTGTAAGTAATCCTAAATGAAGGGCTCACTATTAGGTCAAGCTGTAATTACTTCAACAACGTATGCTCGTTTATCCTCCCACATTTTGATTTAAGGTTGGTGGTACACCATCCAGTCAGTATCAGCTTTGCCACGCCCATTTACTCGTACAAATTTGAGCTTCATAGGTTGAACCTCCGTAGTAGGAATAAGCCTGAACTATCAAATAGGTAATCTTATTGCTTCTCTTGATAAACATATATCAGCAACTTGAGAGTGAATTTCTGTGGTGTATGGCTCCAAAGTCACCTGACAAAATCAAATAAATTTTTATGGTGGTTAATTGAAATTGTTATAATTTAAGAAATATAACTTTTATATTAGTAATAACAATACAAATCTGACTATCCAATAGGTAATCTAACTCATCTCTATAACTGTTGAGGCTACCTGCTTGGAGCTGCCTTATAAATTTATGGTTCCATCTATAAAAACAACTTAGGGTGCTGCCCTAATAGATCATCACAGTAATATGACCAACTAGCTCATCGTCTACCGGGGCCTACAGCATTGTTCCCAACTAATGCCGACCCATCAATTTGAAGGCCCAATATCAAAGTAACATCTTGTAAGGTAATACTCATCTCACCTACAGGTAAGTGAAATGAGTTTGTCTGCGGTGACCAGCGCTCAACCAAAGCTATAAGAAGACTGTGATCCATCCTTATGTATCGCAGCTAACTAACACAGTCCAATCCTAAGACTCGAAGGCCTTCCATAAATCTCGGACAATTTATTGCCTACTCATGAACCATAAGAAGATGCGAGGCAGCTTCCAAAACTGTTCCCTACATGTCACAAAGATTTAAGGGCATTAGTAACATTAAATGAAAGAACGTTCATCATAATATTTTAAATATTATCATATCTCATTCAGATGAGCTGCTTTGTGTGACCCACGTAATGAGGCAATGCTGGGATTTAGATCCATCGGCACATTTTGCTGCTCTTCATCACCCTGTGTTATAGCTTTTCTAGCTTGATGTTTTCG